CATCTCTGCCCTCGGCCCTCAGCCCCAGCGGGGGGAGACCAGTTTCTGCTACCCTTTCACATTCAGTCCCTGAGGCTGCGGCAGAAGGGGGCACTACGTGTTCAGTGACACATGCGGATGACGTGTTCATCTTCCTGGGGGCTCCCAGGAGCGGAGGGCATGTCCTGACCAGCCCAGCCCAGCCCTACCTGGCGTTGCTCCCTGCGCCCTTAAGCCCCCAGGGATGGGTGTGAGTTCCCACCCATGGACCCAGGAATGCGCCCTATCCCCGGATGTCCCCTCTTTGGACTAGAAGGAATACCTCCCATCTGTCTGCCCAGCCTCTATGCCTTTGCCACACCAGGCTCTCCATCTGGATGCTTTCTTCACTCAGGTCACTCACCTGGTGTGTTCCCCTACTGGGGCAGCCTTGCCCCTGGGAAACCATCCTCTTCCTCCCCAAGAGACCCGTATCTACAGGCAGGTTACCAAGCAGACAATGTCTCCCAGGCCAGCAGAATCAATTCAACTATTACGCTAGCCACGTGTGTCATTTTAAACTTTCTAGTAACCTCATTTAAAAAAAAAAAGTGAGATTAATTTTAGAAATGTGTTTCATTCGATCCAATATATCCAAAATATCATCATTTCAACGTCATCAATAGAGAAATTACCTGTGAGATATCTTACATGCTTCTTCTCAATTCCGATGCTCCATTTCCCAGGGTTAAGTGAAATACAGTCTTCCCAAAGCATTCATGTTGTATTTAAGGGGAATTACATTGCTTCTGTTTTTAAAGTTAAATTTAAGTTGATTAAAATGAAATGAAATTGGAAATGTTCATTTCCTCGGTTACAGGTGTCACATTTCTAGTGCTCAGTGGCACATGTGGCCAGTGGCTTCTGTGTTGGACAGCACAGCTCTATAAGCTGTTTCTACACACCTGTCTCATTTGTGGACGCAGTGCCAGGTCCTGATCTAGAGGAGGCTTCCCCAGATATTAGTCAGAGGGATGGATGGATGGATGTTTGGAGGACAGATAGACAAATGGATGCTGAATGGAGGGAGAGATGGATGGAAGGAAGGACAGCTGGATGAATGGATAGATGGATGGATGATGAATGGATAGAGGGTGGATGGTCGGATGGATGGATGGATGGACAGTTGGATGGATGGATGGGTGGATGAGTGGATTGATAGGTGGACAGTTGGATAGATGGATGGATAGATAGACAGAGGAATGGATGATTATACAATCCCTGCTCCTCCCAGAACCTACCCACCCCCATGGCGGCTGGCACTGGGTTTCCCACTCTCTCCTTCCCAACCCTTCCAGTTCTCTTCCCTGTCCCCAGATGCCTAGGTTCCCCCCGCCAGATCCATTTCTGTGGGGTCAGTGGTCTCCATTACTGTCCCTCCTTTCCTGTCTCTGGGTAAGATGCTACTCTGGTAGCTTCTGGTTCCTCTTGCCACCTCCTTAGGAGTCTGGGCCCCTCTCCATCTATAATCAGGATTTTCATCTCCCCATCCCCACGCCCATGTTCTGAAAAGACTCAGCCAACTCCTCCATCATCACTGCAACCCGTCACTCATTCCCCATCACCTGTGACAATTCACGCATCCTGTCAGCAGTGTTTATGGAACATCTGCCACATTCCAGGAGCTCTGCCAGGCACTTCCCTTGGGATACAATGGGAGACAAACAGATCACAAGCCCTGTCTTCATGGGGTTGACAGTCTGATGAGGAGACAGTCAACAAGACCAAAGATTAAAACATTGAGAATGTCAGATGGTGATGTGCGCTACTGGAAAAAACAAAACAGGAAAGGTGGGAGGAGAGGTTGGTGGGCAAGCTCGGAGGAGGTGAGACAGGGCAGACTTGGATAAAGGGAGACAGTGAAGCTCGCAGGTGTCTGGGGGACAGCATGTCAGACAGGGGAGCAGCAAGTGCAAAGGCCCTGGGGCGGGAGCATTGTGTATCTGGGCCCCCTTATTTTCTGGTCCCTGGCCCACTCTGGCACAGCCTCCAGACCTGCCTTCTCCCTTAAACATCTTCCTTGAAATTCTCATTGGGTCTCCCTGGATCTCCTTGTTCCCCAGGGCTGCGCCCCCAAGGTCCCCCCGCCCAGTCTCCCTCAAGGATCTAGGCATTCTGTTCCCCCTAGACTCTCCCTCTCCTCTGGAACTTGAGACTTCTGGCTGGCACACATGCTCTTCCCCTCTGGTTCTGTGGGGCCCCTGGGGACGGGGTTCAGGAGAGGTTCCCACAGGAGGGACAGGGCAAGGTTGTCACCGCCTCAGAGCTAGGAACAAAGGATCACTGAAGGCAGAACAAAGGTCAGGCAGTCCAGGACGGAAGGCCAGGCGGGATGTCTCGCTCAACCTCCCACAACCCCAACGTGGGAAACCCACTCAGCCCCAGACAGAGAGAGCTGGCACTCTTGATTTTCTCCCTCCCTGTGAGGGAGCCCTTTTCACAGATGGGAACATCAAGGCTAATACTGAAAGTGGCTGAGGCACGGGAACTCCCTGGCGGTCCAGCGGTTAGGACTCTGCGCTTTCACTGCCAAGGGCACGGGTTCCGTACCTGGTGGAGAACTAAGATCGCACAAGTCATGCAGTGTGGCCTGCCCCCAACTCCGCCAAAAAAAAGTGGCCAAGGCAGAATTCGAACTCAGTTGTGGTGGTGTGAGGTAGGGGGAGGTTCCTCATATCACAACATCCTAGAGATGGGCCTTTGGGCAGATAAACTGAGGGGGCGTGACGCCCCAGGACATTTGTCTTCTGCCTGTTTTCAGAGTGAGGGTGGGCAATGCTCTGTGACCTTGGGAAAGTCATTCTACGTCTCTGAGCCCCCTTCTGCATCGATTACATGAGTCTGACATGCCCCACCCCCCTCACCTACACAGCATGGCAAACTGTTAATTGGTCAGTAAATAAGAGTTGTTTTTTTTTCTTTTTAAACAAACTTTTAATTTTAGAGTAGTTTTGTTTGTTTGTTTTTGTTTAAACCCATTTATATGAAGATCAAAAGCCGGCAAAACTAATTTGTGGTTATAAAGGTCAGGACAGTATCAACTTTGGGGAAATATTGATTAGAAGGGCATAATGGAGCCTCCTAAATAGAGGTGGTTTTTTTAAATTTAATTTTATTTATTGTTTATACAGCAGGTTCTTATTAGTTATCTATTTTATACATATTAGTGTATACATGTCAATCCCAATGTCCCAATTCATCCCACCACCACCACCCCCCGCCACTTCCCCTCCCTTTTGGTGTCCATACGTTTGTTCTTGTTTTTGTTTTTTTGTTTTGTTTTTTTTTTTTTTTTTGCGGTACGCAGGCCTCTCACCGCTGTGGCCTCCTCCGTTACAGAGCACAGGCTCCGGACGCGCAGGCTCAGCGGCCATGGCTCACGGGCCCAGCCGCTCCGCGGCACGCGGGATCCCCCCAGACCGGGGCACGAACCCGTGTCCCCTGCATCGGCAGGCGGACTCCCAACCACTGCGCCACCAGGGAAGCCCCATACGTGTGTTCTTTACATCTGTGTCTCTACTAAATAGAGGTTTAAATGATGATATTTTTGTATTTATTTATCCAACTGAAATTTCTCTGGCACATAGTAGAAAGATGAGAAGTTTCTAGAAAGAGTCTGTCAAAACGTTGTTTATCTCTGTGGGTAGAAGGCGGGTCCCAGGGATGATTATTTTCTTTCTGGACTTAGCGGCTCAGATAATTTTTGTTTTTTTAAACGAGGTACACACATTCTTTGTCCTATAAAAAGCAGTCATGGTTGAGAGTGGTTGAGAGTCCGCCTGCCGATGCAGGGGACACGGGTTCGTGCCCCGGTCCGGGAAGATCCCACGTGCCGCGGAGCGGCTGGGCCCGTGAGCCATGGCCGCTGAGCCTGCGCGTCCGGAGCCTGTGCTCCGCAACGGGAGAGGCCACAACAGTGAGAGGCCCGCGTACCAAAAAAAAAAAAAAAAAAAAAAAGCAGTAATTTCTGGTGAGATTAGGTTTGGGGACCAGATGCCAAGTGTCTGAAGGGTCAGGAGACCAGCAGGTGGAGAGGAGCTGGGTTTGGGTGGGGGACAGAGCAGAAGGGGACGTGGGCTTTGCGGAGCCTCCTGTGTGTCAGATTCTCCACAAAGCATCTGAGAAACGTCTCATCCGGTTCTCACAACAGCCCGATGACGTGGGTACCATTTACGGGAGGAACTGAGGCCCGGGGGCTGATGGGACTAGTTTCAGGTCGCACAGCTGGGAGGTGCTGGAGCTGGGACTCAGACAAGGCACTGTGAGTTTCAAAGTCCCACACCAACCAGCTCTGGCCCTTATCTGTTGCATCTCTGTATCTCTTTGTGTCTCTCAATGTCTCTCACTATCTCTGACCCTCAGTGTTTCTCGCATTCCCTCAGCTTCTCCCTGTCTCTGTCGCTCTGCATGTTTCTCTGTCTCTTCCTCGTTCTCTCTGTGTCTCTTGCTGTCTCTGACCCTCTCTCAGTGGCCCCCTCTCTCCCGTTTGTGCCCCTGTGATCCCGGCTGCGTCTGTCCCCGTCTTTCAATCTGTTTTGACGTGTGCCCCTTGCAAGTGTCAGCCCGCCAGGGCAGTTTCTGTCGGTCTGGTTCCCAGCAGTGTTCCAACCCTTAGAACAGCGCCTGGCAGACAGGAGGCGCTCAATCAGTATTTCTTGAATGGATAAAGGCATGAATGAATGAATGAACTCTCTGAGATGAGACTAGCTCCTTGATCAGATGAGCAAACTGAGGCTCCAGATGGGCACAGACATGCCCACAGCCACCAGCACGGAATGTTCCGGTGTGGGATTGTCTCTGACCCCCTGGACTCTGTCCCCAGCCACTGGCAAGATGCCCAGGAGGTGCCCATCACCCCTCCTCTACACCCTCAGAGAAGGGTGGCTCCCTCCTGGCCTCTCCCCACTGTCGGAGGCGTGGGTAGCAGCTGGGAGAACCGGCTGGATGCTGCCCCTCCCCTTGGGCGTGGAGGTAGGCACCTGGCGGGCTCCCTGCGTGGTAGACGCCACCGCCACACACACCTGCTCCCTGTGCCATCTGCTCCCAGCGCGTCCTCCTCTCCCCACCCTCGCCCTCCTGCCATGGATGAGCCTGCCGAGCCCAGGAACCAGGCTGCGTGGGACCCCTATGAGAAAAACATCTCGGAGATCAGGTGAGGCCCAGACCTGGGCACGTGCCGGCAGCGCCTGGGGGAAGAGCCAGGGGCCTCTGCAAAGGTGGCCCCCGGCCTCCTGGAGCCTCAGAACTGGCTGGGCTGGGCTGGCTCGTCCACCCTGGAGTACAGATCCTTCCTGCGAAGGGATTCGAGGACCCGGGCTGTGCTGAGTCACCAGTTGGGATTCTTGGGGTGTCTTGTCCGTCTCAGGGCCTTAGTCTCTCTGTCTGTCAAAGGGGTCCAGAAGCAGTTTGTCTGCCTGAGGTAGGACTGGATGAGAGCAGGGTCTTGGTGCATGGTAGTTGCCCGGGAAACAGGAGGGCTTTTTGTACCCGCTTTCCTCCCAGACACGACCAAAAGCCCTTCAGATGGGGGTGCTTGCCCTCAAGGGGCTTCTGTTCTGTTTGGGGGGAGGAGGATGGGAGAGCAGAGGTGGACTGAGTTTGGGATACAGCTGAGTCTCAGAGTCAGAGTCTGTGGCCCTGGAGGACTTGGGGACCCAAAGGATGGGTCCCCAAGACAGAGCTTTCCCCACCTCAGAAGTGTGACTCCTTTGTTCCTAGGAATGAGTCAGACACTTTTATAGTACCCACTTTCCAGATGGGGAAACTGAGGCTGAGAGGGAAAGTGATGGGACCATGATTACACAGCCAGAAGCAAATCTGAACCCTGTCCACCTGACACCAAAGTCTGTGTTTTCCCCTCTCTTCAACAGCCTCAGTGATACCCCCTCCCCACGGCTCCATTTCTCAGAGGAGAAAGTGGAGGCTCAGAGAGGGCAGGCAGCCTGCCCAAGATCACACAGTGAGCTGTTTAGATGATCCCAACCCTCCATATCTTGCATTCTGCCAGGCAAGTCTCTCCTGGCCTCCCGAGCTCCTCCAACCACCCCTGACTGTACTGTTTCAGGCTCGCCACTCGCCTCCCTCACCCTCATGCCCCAGACTCCAGAGACGAGCAGTTAAATTCTGAGTGTTGTGTGACATAGACAAGCCTCCTAGGTCTCTGGGCCTCTCAGGATGAGAGTGGCTACCAGGCTGGTCCCAGCTCTGTTTGAAGAAACTCCCAGCATTCTCTCTTCAGCATTCTTTTCTTTGGGCCTCTGGGTTCTGCCATTTCTCCCTCCTGATATAAACTGGTTCCCTTCCTGGGTTCCCACATCTAGGAAGCCTTTTCTTCCCACCAGGCCCTGGGAGCCTCCCTCTTCTTTGCTCCCGCACAGCCAGTTGGCCATAAAATCCCCAGCCCTTGCTCAGTGTGTGACCTTGATTCAGTCATTTGGCCTCTCCCAGCCTCAGTTTCCTCATCTGAAAAATGGGAGTAAATAACCCTAGCCTATAAGACACTTCTGGACCGAAATTCTGCAGCCCCCTGGGAGGTGGCTTAAAATCTTCTTTTCCATGAGCTTCTGGAATCTCCTGGACCCAGAAGGATGCCTCTCATGAGGGCCCTTAACATCCCTTTTGGACTCTCTGCTGCAGGCCCCTCAGACACGTAGTGTCCCCAGCATTGTGTGGGAACTCAGTGGCTCCCCAGAATTATTCCTCCTCCCAGGTTGCCATCTCAGGGATGGCCCCATCGGTCACCAGGTCAGAACCGCCCCCCCCCTTCAACTGTCTTTGTCCCTTCCTTCCTCTCCCTCCCACGGCCTGTCACTCCCCAACCCCACTCTCCTGACCCCTGACTCTCTCCATTCTCATGGTCTCTGCTCAGGCTTCATCTTTGCCCTTGGAGCCTCTCCCTGGCCTCCACGCCTGCAGTCTTTCCCAGAGCTGCCCCTCCCCTCCTCCCAGTCCAGAGGCCCTCCGGGCCCTGGCACCCTGGCTTCTCCAGGTCAATCCCCTCCCTCACCTGCATTCCATCTACCCCAGCACTTCAAATTCCCTGGTTATACCTCACTATTCCCTGCCCCAGTGCCTTTGCATACATGGTTTCCTCTGAAGGGATTCCCAGAGAAGTCTTTTCTAAATCTTTAAATCTATCCTTGGCCACCCCCCTGCTCAAGTCCCTTCCATGGCTCCCCAGCACCCACAGCGATGGTTTCCAAACCCTTTTTAAGATACAGATTCCTTTGTCCAGGAGAAATCTTACACCCAAACAGAAATACATAATAGAGATCAAAACAGAGCTGCTCTGGTTTAAAATGGGGGAGTGGGGCTAGGGTCCTGCTGCTGGCCTTTCTCCCTCTGTGGGAGCGCCTCTCTGCCCCCCAAGCCCCCTCCCCACCTTCCTTGCTCCATGGGCCCCACCTGGCTGCTTCCGCATCCCCTGCAGCCCAGATCTCACACCTTGAAGCCTTTGCACCTGGAATGACCTCTCTCCTTCACCTGGCGAACTCCTTCTCACACGATTTAAGATTCTTGGCCACCACAGGTAGGTCCCTGATCACACTTCTGGCTTCAAACCGCCGTGGTACCAAAAGGCGGAACCGTTCACAGACAGGGATAGAGTCGGGACCACCTCTGTAGTCCTCTGCTCGGGGACCCTGAGAAGGCTCTGAGAATGATGTCAAGGAATGAATGGAGGAGAGATTAGGCAAGCTTTGAGCTGGAACTTGCAGGATGAGTCAGGGCTGGAAGACAAGTGAGGAGGGGCAGGGCATGCAGGGGAGGAGACAATAGAGGAAAAGGACAGTGGCTGCTGGAAGTGACATGAATGAGTCCTAATGTCAAGGGCAAGAAGCGATTCCCAGGACACTAACTGCAGCCCGATTCCATTTTTAAGCTCCCCGCCTCCCCCAAAACAAGAAAAGCTAAGCAATATATCATTTTTAAAATACAAGCATAGGGACCTCCCTGGCGGTCCAGTGGTTAAGACTTTGCCTTCCAATGCAGGGGGTGCAGGTGAGCTAAGATCCCACACGCCTCAGGGCCAAAAAACCAAAAAAAAAGCAATGTTGTAACAAGTTCAATAAAGACTTTAAAAATGGTCCACATCAAAAAAAAAATCTTTTAAAAAATTTAAAAAACAAACAAACTGTCTTTTAAAAAAAACAAGTGACCGACAGGGATTTAATTCGGATGGTGGTGAGGGGGAGAGGCCAGTGGGACAAGAAGGAGCTCAGAGGCACCTGAGAGACATATCGCTGGGAACGTTCTAGTTCATTAGTTCATAATTTGTTACAAATTATGGTTTCAATATGTTAAATGTGTTCCATGGAGACCTGTATGTATCCAAAGGACTAAAAAGGAATCTTAAGGGCAAAACCAAAATTTTAAGAGGAAAAAGTTAGAAGCAGAAGGTAAGCAGGACCCAGGCAGTTATACTAAGTTTCAGGAGGCAGAGGTGACACAGAGACAAACCCAGAAGATGTTAATCCCTAGAGAATCTTTTTAATGCTCACCTTGCTTAGTGTCTTCCACCTATTACCTCATTTAATCCTCACAACAACTGTTCGAGATTAAGCCATGAGAATGATTAACTATTATCATTCTATTTATGACGAAAGCCACTGAGGCCCGGAGAGGTTGAGTGACTTGTCCAAAGTCACACAGCTGTCAAGTGAGCTGTAGTCAGGATGTGAACCAGGACAGCCTGACTCTATCACAGCCTGGAAAGGGTGGGCAAATGTGGAAGGAATTTGGGGATAAGCAAGATGAGGGGGTAGGAGGGTCAGGAGGGAACCCTGGCCAGACAGGAGGCTTAGTAGGTATCTTGTGTTCTGTCGCATTTCCTGGAATACCCCGTGCACTGGGCTGCACCTTGACCAGCCCTTTCTGGTGAAGGTCAAGGCCAGGAGAAGCCGAGCCAGCATTTGGACCTGTGGTCGCTGCTCCTCCCCTACCTCTGATCTTGGAGAACCCCAAACAAGGTCTTTTCAAATCTCACCGTTTTTATGGCTGAAGTCACCAACACTGGTTTTACAGCCCTGGCTCCTCCTTCCCTGGGGAGGCCAAGCTACTTGGATGATTTTATGGCTATAGTCCTTCCAGTCACAGAGCTGCTTTTCCCAAGGGGAGGGGTGCCGCTAATAAAAAGGCAATAAACAAATAATTCCACCTGCGTGGAATTTGGGCAGGCAGAGAGGAAGTGGGGTTCTGGACCTCCACTAATAAATCAGGCGCCCTGGTGAGGATTAGAAAAAGATGCTCACAGCCCCACCTTCCCTTCTCCCCACCACTGGTCTCCCTGCAAGGGACCCAGGCTTGGAGAGTGAAGGGAAGGATGTGTTTCTGTTCCCTTGCTCTCTAGAGGCCAGGGAGGGGGCAGTAGGATGTGCGCCCGCATCCCACTTATGCCTGTGGTCCTGCATAGGGATCAGGAAGTGGGAACATCCAGGACACACTTGGAAAGAGCCAGAGCAGCCCAGTTTGCCGAAGGCAGGCTCTGGGGGATGCAGAGCGGGACCCAGTGGGCCATCAGTGGCATCGAATGCTGAGGCAAGAAGGGAGACCCTGGTCTCACTGGGAGGCCTGAATCAGACACCCCAAGAGTGGCGTGGCCAGCTACTCACAGGGGGACCTGGACCAGGGACCCCGAGGTCTCTGCCACTGCAGACAAGAATGCCCGCGTCACGAGTCAAGCTACCCGCAGGAAGTCAACCCTGTGTTCAAATCCCGCCCATGTCACCCGCCGGCTGGGACCCGCCGGGCAGACAGGGTCCGGCAGATAGCTGTGCACCAGTGAAATGGGTGTGGTGGGTGATGCCCCGGGACATGTCAGACTTGCCGTCCTCTGCTGAGTCAGGGATCACACGGTTTTCCTTCCTCCTTCTCTAATTCCCGTTCCTGAGCCAGGAACCCAGGTGCCAGGAAGGGTGGGGACAGGGTGAAAGATGGTAATAATTACAACTTTCCTGAGCGTTGGCCACGCACCAGGCTTGTGCTCAGAGCTTTGTGTGGCTGAACCCCTTCCGTTTCCACAACAGTCCTGTGAGGGTGATGATGTTAGGATTCCCATTTTACAGATGGGAAAGCTGAGGCCCAGAGAGGACTCGTACATCTGGGATTTGCTCCGGAGACCCCTCTCTTTACCTCCATGCTAGAGAAAGGGATCAG